TAATAGACCTTATAATGTTAGTTACGGTAATATATTATTTATTACATCAAACGTTAATCGTCACTTACAAAAGATCTTAAAAACCATGGACACCAATAATATAAGGACCATAAGGGTTCACATGTTAATGCTTTCCTAGCTAACTTATCAGAAACATTGTTTGATTCCCGATATGTATGTAAGAATTTTATGGAGAGAAAGGTTGATTACCATGACTTGATATCGTTCAACTGATGTTGAAGGCGGATATTCACATATTATTTATTAACTATTCATATATTTTTGTTATCGATTTTTCAACGTATATAATTTGTATAATATGCGCTTTTTGAAAACAAAAGCACCATTAAAAAAATGTTTTGTTGAGCCAAAATAACATTTATTAAAATAAGAAGCACGATTACACCATGATGGATGAATATAATCACGAAAGCTTTGGAATAAAACGATATAAAACGAAAGAAAGAGACAAAGTCATCCACAATGAATTAAGTCATCTAACAAACATATGATCATTCAAAAGCCCATTGGTTTTCTTGGCGAATCTTTTCTTCTTCTCCGGGTGTGAAATCGCTTTTGATGTCCAAGATAGTACGAATCTCATCAGGACTTTTACCTGTGATCGTATCAGCAACTGTTTGACAAGTGAGATCAAGAAGGCTTTTGATGTTTAAGTAATTAGCAGCTAGGATGAGATGGAAAAGCGTCGATTGATTGATGTTTTTCATGAACTCTTGGTCCCAAATCTTGAGTTCTTCTTCCGAACCACCATCGACGTGTTTCTTGCAATACTCGTTCACTTTGCCTAGGATCTCTCCGGTTACTCTGGAAACAGGAATTACGTCGACGCAACCGTCTTCAACCATGTGAGCTATGGTTTGTGATTGGAGAGCCACCGCTTCATCGACCTCAAACATTTGGCCATCGGAACTCTTCAAAACAATCCTTTTCGAGTTCGACATTGTTCGTTGAGGAAAAAAATTGTTGGAAAGATAATTTGATGAATGAAACAAAGTGTGAGCCTATACGTCTCTATTTATAAAAAAAAAAAAAAAATTGAGTTGGTGATTTAATTTGTTTCTTAAAAGTCCCAAAGTAATTAGGAATTATGAATATGTTACCTTTCTCTTAAGAAAATAGAAATGGGAAAGAAAAGGAAATTTGGTGATTTCAGATTTTCACCTATATTAAGAAAGAAATTAGTCAATCTCACTCTCTATTAATTGTATTATCTAAATAATAGTAATAAATCCAGTGAAATACAATGTATTCTTCATGGAAACGCTCCCTAATAGGCAATGGTATAAGATTATGATAAACGACGTAGAATGAGAAGGTAATTGCAATTTTGCTACCTTAACTGGGGTCTCTCAGATAGCTACATTTTTTTTTATTCATATTAAATGATTTTTCATCATTTAAAATTTTCACGTTTTAAACTAAATTTTTTTTTTATATAGATCACAAAAGGATAGTTCAGTATTTGTTTAAAGTAACATATTGAAAATTATTCTTTACAAATTTATTATAGCGAAACTGTTTGAAAATGCGAATTTATGATGTCAAAACTTAAAACTATATCAAGAATTTTGACCCCAAAAAAAACTATATCTAGAATCAAATACAAATTAAACGTATTCATAAGAATCTACGAATATTACATATACAAATAGGAATTTACAACTTAATTCCTATTTCACAATCTTAATCGAAGTTACAACATGATTTGTGTTCAGTCACCATAATTGAAAGCATCTCCGTAATTAGAAGTAACTAGTATATGAATTCCTAATTTGAAAAGCCTTGAGGAGCAAAGCATCCATGGGATAAACTTTGACCAAGAAGACTCGTTGTATGTCATTGACAATGAGGACATTAAAGGGACCATGTTCAAGTTCGTATCAATAAGACCGGTAGTGTTGTCTGCTTCGTATAAGAAAATCAAAGTTAACTCGACCAATATTTTTTTAATAAAGTGAGAGTTTCAGACTTCATGTCCATGGTCTAACCGCACCGACTTGATTCGGCCTAAAAGATTTACCTTACGATAGTATATTAACTGTTATATTTTGGCTTACTTTTCAAAGTATATAACTCCTCTAATATGCTATTTAAAATAAAAGCACCATTAAACATTTGCATCGATTAATTCTTGTCTAAAAGTAAAGATGCACAACTTTAAAATAAAAAGATGTTTTAAAAAAAAAAAGAGAATTCCACACAATGATCTAATCTCACAAACATGATCCTCACTCAAAAGCCCATTTGTTTTCTTCGCGAATCTTTGCTTCTTCTTTTGGTGTGAAATCATTTTCCAAATTAAAAAAATCACGAATCTCTTCGGGAGTTTTACAACTTGCCAATATCTCAGCAACTGTTTGAGAAGAGAGATCAAAAAGACTTTCGAAATTTAGCAGCTTTTTTTTTGCTAAATGGTAAATATTTCATAAAAATGAATCAGTTCAGGATTACAATATTGATTGTAGTCCTATACAATGTATTTCATGGCAAAAAAATTTAAAAAACATGGAAACATATGCCTACAAGATTTTCAGTCCGTTACTC